TCCCTATTCTTTCTTCTCCAAGTTCCTATCTTACACCATCACTCAAACACACGTGTGCATTCACTTTCATCCTTGTGCAAACAGTACTCTTTCAGTCACACACTTAGGTCTACTCTTAACTCTTCTGCTGAAGCTGCCTTTACTTACAGTAATGTCTTTTCATTGGCTCTGTGTCCCTGTTGTGTTAAACAGCATGCGTGTATTTGCTTTCTGCACACTAGGGCAGGTCTTAGCACATACCGTTACCCATCGCACTTCACTCCCCAGTTTTCCATCCAGCCATGTGAAAGTCAAAGCGAAACATGGATCTCCCCTAACTCTTGATTCTTATGAAGCATGTCCTTGCCACCAACATTGTTGGTCTTGAAATGTTTGTCCTCTTGGCAAGGCCTCGGGTGGAACTGAAGCTTTCTTGCCTCCCCAACTCTCTCACCTCCGTCACCTCCCTGCCCCGTAAAGCTGCCACAGTTTCTGTCTGTTCAGTGTAGGCCACATTTCTTAATAGAGAGATGCTCAGTAGTGCAGGGGCGCAAAGGAGCTCAATACGCTTCTGTTTTTGGTTTAGCTCAAAAATGTTTTTCCTGGCTCAACCCACCCATACTTAGGTCCTCTTACAACAAACTAAAAGGTCCTAATTGCCCCCAAGGGAAAGGTTTAGCCACAATGGACATGTGGTGGGACAAAAGCCCAGTACTCTTATCCCAGCACCCTCACCCCTCCCCAGATACAGGAGATGAACACGTCAGCAGTGTGTGTGTGTGTGTGTGTGCACTGTGGGTAGCACGACCACAGGTTTGACACTGTAAAACATTGAATATACAGTTTATTGACCTAGTAAGGCATGGTGCATGGTTGGGTAAAAATTTGGAATGTTTAAGAGTTTACAGCAAATCCAGTGTTTCCTGTTTCTTTTCACATCTGATTGAAGGTAAAGGGTCAGCCTAAATGTGTGCATCAAATTGTCTTGGTAAACGCAGTGACAGTAGCCTGCTGTCTTTCTGTAAGCCTGGAAAAGATGGGAAACAGATTCAGGTTACACCAAGGATACAGAAGGATGAATGAAAAATTACAGCTGAATTACACTGCAGCTGATAAGTCAGTGTAAAATCAGAACTGCAGCTGTTGAGACATGTCCAGCAGTGATTAGAAATACTTCCAAAGGTTTATTTAAGCCCACTAAGGTGGTCTTTACCTTACAGGGCAATGCAACAAGTGCCAGTGTGGTGCTATTTACTAAATGAACAAAATGCTAAGATTTAATTGCAACAACCGTTTGACCCAACTCTGGTCCCTATGCTCACCTCTCTCAAATCTCATGCCTGCTGAAACATGGAAAGTCCTCATTCATTTTAGCTCTCCATAAAGAAAATATTGTTGCACATGCAGTAGATGATCAGTCTTCGAATACCTTCTTGTGTGGTAAGTCATGGGCCATTTGAGTTGCACAGCACAGCTTAGCCACCTGACCTGAGTGCAGCCTGGAACCCTCATCACACTCAGGCTGTACTTTATTTCTCTGCTGCTCCACAACATTGATACGGAGGAATTCCTGGAAGGAGCCCTTGCTGACACAAGTTGGGTAAATAACCGACTGATCTGGATCCACAGGCATATATTATAGATGTATGCCAAATATCAACTAGTTTTTCCCCGCCTTTTTTGCTAAATCTACCTTTATGTGGGGTGAAATATTACATCTCTGACTTTGCTTCTGCTTCAGGATTTTAAGCTGGTCGATGTTTGCTCAGCCAGTGACAAGAAGAACACTTTATCCATATTACACTTCACTGCTGAGGGTGTTGTTGAATATATGGGCCAGTCCAATGCATCATTGCTCATAGGAAGACTATACTGTAATTATGATTAGACTTACATTGTTGCAACACAATTCTGAAGTCTCCCCTCTGCTCTGTACAATGATTATAGCTCATAGTTGCGCTGCTGGCTCACAGAGATGTGCATTATTGCTCACCCGTAAAAGTCCACTTAGTTTAACAGCGGCAGGAGAGCTTGGAGGACATGGCCAGTGAAACACCGGGCAGCGCCTTGTGTGGTCGGCTCAGAACTGGGGCTTTTGTTCACTTTTCATGAGTCCTCGGAGCCCGTTAACCCAGCATTCAAGGCCCCTCAGCCCCATGTTTCACGGCAGCAGTGACAGCCTAGCACTCTAGCTCTCTTTGCCTGTACTCTCTACCTTAACTAGCCACTGGTGAGTATGTAATTATGTTTTAAATTATGAATGCATGCATGTGTGCACGTGTGTCATTTCATGAAGAATGATCATATGAGAAGATGA